GCAAACGCACTTTCTACCAAGGCTGCGCAAATCCCAATGGCACTGCGACATCACGAACGTCGTGTCGCCACACGGTCTGCCCACACACTAGAAGCAGTCATGCGAGCGTTTCGTACGAGACGTCCTCCAAAAGTCACGTGTCAAGTCTCCAAAACGAGACTTCCTCAAAAACTCACATGTCAAAGTCTGCAAAACGAGCGTCTCGTACGACACTTCCTCCAAAAGTCCAGCGGAAACACCCATCGGAGCACACACATCACGCAGCCCTGCCAAGCAGTTTCGCGAGTCCAGCCCCTCCAAACAACACCCGCTCACACGCCAATCCCAATGGGACAGCGACATTCACCTCTACCACAACTCACAACCTGACGATTCCCTGCGCCTGCCACGAATCTTTCCGCGTCCACACGTCTAACGCGCACAAAGTACTGTACCTGCCACGAAATGTCACCTCCGTCACACCTCGCAACCTCACGATTCCCTGTGCCACGAAAATCGCACTTCCGTGTGAGCTTCACCACCACACCACACGTTTGGAATGATTTCGACCCGTTTTGAGCACACTCCCATCCACCAAAATCGCCATTTCAGCTGAGACTTGTCACGAAGGCAGAGCTTCGATGCCACACCCTGAAACGCAAATCCCAATGGCACGGCCACATCCAACACCCCAAAAACACGACTCTCCAAACGCTAATCCCAATGTGACTGCGCAGCAAACTGCGGATCTCACAAAACGCTGCACCTGCGCAGTGAAATCATCCTCCACTCCACACTTCAACATCTTACATTTCCACACGATTCCTCGCTATTTCAAACGAATCTGACACGTCACGTTTCCATCCGAAACCCTCTCCAAAAGCTTCCCCCAATGCCAGCGCCTTAGCACCCTACTGCGAACACCTGCGGACGTTTGCGGACTTAGAAACCACGGGTCGCGAACAAGGCTCTACCCCCCACACCCCCAGAGTTAAACGAGAAGCCTTCGCTACGCATTCGGGAAAAATATCAATTGAGATTGCGTTGGGATGCTTTGGACGCATGAGATAGGCCAATCAAAACCAGTGAGTACGTTGTACTTAGTTGCATCACATCTGCAGCTAGCATATCTACCGTAGGTACTATAACAGACTAGCAGTTAGAATTCCAAAAAACGTTTAAAACAGTTGAACATCAAAACAAACTTAAATCCCAGGATCCGGCAGCGATGTGCAGATAGAATTTGTGGTGCCTACAAGCAATGGCCTCCAACCTACTAGCGATGGCCTCCAACCTAATAGCAATGGCCTCAAACCTACTGTAATAGCAATGGCTTATACTTCTCCTATCAGTGTTCCTTTACAATAATTGATTATTCTTGAAAGGCGGTTATAGTAATGCCACACTGTCATTTGTTTCTGGGTTTTCCATTACAACTGAAGACTGGCAATACTGCCGACCCGATGCCCGGACTCCTGCACGTGGCTGAAGCTGGCCACATCACAAGGCTTCACTTGCAGTTCCAGGTCGAAGTCCTGCGACTTCAAATCAATCAGAACAAAAAATAAGATAATGAAGGAGATGAACAAAGGACGTTTCAAAGGGGCCTCTTGTCATCTTTTGTTCAGTTCTTAATGAAAGACATCAACCAACTGACCGGCCAACTGACCAAGCAACCAAACGACGCACCAAAGACCTAAAGAACAAACAAGGGCATCAATAGAAAGACACATGCACAGAAGCAAGTTCGCAACCAACGTCAGAAAACACACGAACCAAGGACAAAACCATCAAATAGTGAAAGTGCCAAACTAGAGACCAAGCACATTGACAAATGAACTCCAACTTCAAATCAATCAATCCTTATGAGAACCAGCCACCGATGATACATTTGAAGACGAGTTCTGTCCTGCAACTTCTCCCACATGCTCTTGAGGTCATCACCTAGACAACGGGCCGGAGATAAAAGGAAACTCCCAGGTCAGCCCGGAGGATGATCATGTCACCCTGGTGTCCCAGTAGTTCAAACGTTCAAGAACCTCGTGCAATGATTGGAAGCTGGGGAGCTTGCACCGCTGTGAAGACTTGGGGTGGTTTGGAATTCCCCGCCTCCCCAAACCGTCAGCCCACCACTCCCCTCACCAGGCTCCGTCGATGTGGCCAGGAGACCCACCACGCCGCGGCGGCTGAGCAAGACCACCGACTTGGCGCCCTCTTCCGCCAACATCTGCGTGGTCACCTCGACACGAGCCCAAGTAACCATGAAGATGCTGGAGTGGGTTGCTGGGGTGAGTTGGGTACCTAGAGGAAATGGCATGGAAGGTGGTCCATCACAGGTTTCAAGGTTTTTATTTGGGAATTGAGCTGCACTGCTTGAGCCGTGCATGGTGCCCAGCGGACGTTCACGAAGCTGTCAGAGATATTTGGGAATTCAAATGCACAACAAAAAGGTGAGACGGAAGTCAGAAACTCGTCGAACTGGTTGATTATGTCTCCCTCATTCCCGGATGGACCCAGGCCAAAGGCTTCCCATTGTAACTCAGGGACATCTCAGCGATTCTCTTATAGACATGAGCAGTTGTTCTCCTTCTTTAGCCCGCTCACCCCCTCCCTACTTAATTAAGTAGGCACTCACTTAATTAAGTAAGGGACTTGTAAGCTACAAGGTACAGGACGCAGGATAGCTCACACTTCTTCGAGGAAGCTTCCCCGCCTGAGGGCGGGGGGAGCTTCCTTGAAGAAGCCCTCGCACTAATGATACTGATTTGGTTTCTAGATTTGTTTTTGGAAACCTATATAATAGCGATGGCCTCCAACCTAATGAGCATTGATACTGGATAATCATTACCCCACCAATCCCGAAGGTTGCGGAACACCCTTGAGAGCCCTCAACACTGGTAGATTATATAGACCTCCCATGGCCCTCCGTGCTTTTGAAAAGGCCTCCTCCGCAACGCAACATGACCTCAACTTGGCAACTTTAATGTGTTTAAAATCTTAAACATCAAAGGAGTTGCGTGTGTGTTGAGCACTGGTCTCAAAAGGATCACACCAAATCATCGTGGTGCTGATTCCAAAGACAATCCATCGCCAAATCTTGGCACATCTCTTCTGAGAGGGTGTGATGGTGGTGAAGCAGAATTACCAGGCGTGCAAGCAAATTTGCAGGGTTCTCAGGGTTTGCAAGCTGCTTGCACACCCCAAACAGCTTCAGCCGTTCTGTTCCGGTTCCATCCCACACAGTCTCCTTTGCCACATCCACGCGGCCAGGCCGAGTGCGCCAACGCCACCACTGAGCACGTAGCGGCCATCCTCCTTTAGCTGCATGCGAGAGGGCTGAGTCAGCACCACCTGGCCATGCACGGCACGGTTTTGGACTTCCAGGATTGCTGAGAGGGTCAAGTCGAACAATTTAGACTTGGGACCCAAACTTGCCTAAAAGCCACTTGTTTAACACTATACCCTCGAAACATGAAAGCTCTTTCTTTCTATACTACTAATGATAGGAGTCTCCAAAAAGTCGGCACTTTTGACAAACACTTCCAAACGGCGAACACCTTGCCGATCTGCTGTGCACGCTGGAGGTATCGCATGGCATCGATGCCGGAGTTGAGGCCTTCATAGCCTGGCGGAATGCAATGCTTTGGTCTGTGCGTACTGTTGATGAAAGAAGTTCTGCACTAATTACTTGGGAGCAGAAAAGTGCTAGATGCATGGTCGCTCCAAAAGTGGGCCTGGCTTAAGCCATCTTAAGCCTAACTTCATTCTTCCCTTGGATATATTATGGACAGGGCAGTGTTAAGAGGTGTATATGGATACCACCAGTCCGATTTGCAGATTATCGCCAAGGTGCAGGTCAAAGGCACTTCTTTCCACCAGCCTTTCTCAATCTGGCTCACAAGCCTGGCGGATCTCCGAGACACAGAAATGCTACAAATGCAAAGATATCCGCCCTACTAATCCCGAAATTACCGCTTCCAAAACACACTTAAGCGGATCACGCTCCCCCAGCCATGACCACGATGTCAGGTTTTTGCTTGTTTTGTCCGGCGGTATGGCCCACACCTTCCTTCATGCACATGGGGATCCGATCTTGGAGGGTGGACTATATGAAAGCTTCAACCGCAGAGAATCCATCAACATGGGCCCTTTGAGGCGAAGCTGGGGATCTGGTTTGCCCGACCCCGGGTTGCGCCCGAAGCCAGTATGAGAAGCAAAACTTACACGTAAGTATAACCTCAATCCTTATACCGTAACCTCTCGTGGTGGATCATGTCTGTGTGGATTGCTACCATGTAAACTTATTGTCCAATAGTTTCCCTCGGAGGGTAAGTCCTAATTGGGAATGATCAGAACCCATATATATATATGCATATATATATATTGACAACAACACCTGAGCGACTAAATTCCAATCAATTCACTCTGAGGCTTCAAGAATAGTTTGTTTTTCAAAGGAGAACAACACAATTTGTTATTGCATCCGGGCAAATAGATTATATTGAAAGTTGAACCTGCTGTAGGACTGCGGTAGAGCACCAATGAATGGCTCATGTGTTGGTTCTCTGCGCCTGCGCATCAAGACATTGTAACCTGGCACGAAGGCAGAACATGTGGTGCAAGTCCAACAGCCCTCTGCAACAAGCAAGTGGGGTAGGCCATGGTAAGTCATCTGTTTAAGTTTGTCAACCACTCTTGACAATGACTTCATATCTATATCATTTGGTCAACATGGAGCTAGTATCAATCATACAGCTTTGTGCATAGGCAGCACAGGAGTGATTTTCCTTTGATCGGCAACCAAAACACCAAACATTTTGCCCCACACAAAAAAGCATTTATGCTCGTGGAATGATCGATAGTCTGAAACAAGGCACGTTCAGGTTGATGTTCCATGACCCAGTCCATAGCAATCTTCTCATATTGCACGTCAGGACGTTCCTGTTGCATCTGCTCATGGCTCCAAATCAAGCGCTTACCTCGGGTGTTTCAGGGAAGCAATTAACTAAAGGAGTGTGAGCTCTAGGCACAGATGCTTTGGTCTTGGCTAACAAATAAGTTTGACTGTTACTGTTGACTAAATCACAAAGCGGAGGAATTAACAGACTTGCTGGATAATGGAAACTACCGCTAGCGGCTAGTCCGTGGGAGATTCGTCTTCCAACCATTCCTGGACCAAGACGCTGTCCCTGCAAATCTGCCCTTTGACAAAAAGAACCATTGAAACAAATTGAATGGTCCGAAGTCGATACGCTTCCTCATCAGACCTCTCAATCGATCTCGCAGCAAGTCGAGTTGGATCGTATCCAAGGCACCTATCTCCATGAAGCGGCCGCCCTTGCGCAAGAAGCCCAAGGACTTGGGGATGTAGTCATCATGGCTCAAACTGTTCAAGACCACCTCAGTGAGCGTGTGAGGATGGCAAGAAAAAAATAAGGCAGGACTTGGCATGCCTTTTGGATAGGTACAGAGCGTTTTCTGCCAGAAGTTGCTCGTGCCCTTCTTTAATGTGTCAGGCAAGCAAGCAACATCTTCCTTTTACCTACCCAATGTTCCCCCAGTTCAGCTGATAAGACCGAGTGATTACCCTGAATAAGCACGGAGTTGTCCATCATTGAAGGCTCTTATTCCCTAAGTTCCCACTGCCTCCTCAAAAATCTACAGTAGTATGTAATGATATGTATATAATGTATCTAGTTGGACCCTCCAAATCCACACTCACAGTCATCAATGATATGATCCAAAGACCATGTTTCGCAAGTGGTCTTTAAGACAAGCAGCATCTAAGCCACCAGCCGCATCTGCTCCATCTTCTTTCATGAAACGCTTCATATCTTCTTCAAAGGCCTGCTTAAAGGGTCGAGGGTCGAGGGTCCGGGATGGAAGGCCTTGCGTCGATCTCGTCTTAAAACATGAAGGTTGTGGCATCCAAATAGAACGAGGTTTGATACGGCCTCGACTCATGTGGCCTGGAGTGCATCATGTCACCTGGTCATCTTGATGGTAAGGCAACACCACAAGGCAATCCTTCTGGGCGTTCGTTGCGTCTGAGACAAATTGGATTGGTCTCGCTTAATATGGGAATCCACTGCCTTCAGTGGCTTCACTGACGGTTTCACGTGCGGTGTGTCTCATTTGCAAAGAACTACAGTCTACAGTACAAGTACATGGTGGGTTTCTGCAGTGTCCGAATTCCAAGACACACCAACTAACAACTTCCGCACTGGAAGGGATTATCTAAAAGCCTGAAAGACTGTCCGACTCTGCAACAATTCAGAAGACCCCATGTAAAACAAAATATCTATCTACACTGATCTCCCAAGCCACAATAACGAAGAACATATCGATTGAGCAAGGTTGGCACCTAGAAAAGGATGCACATGTTGGGCGACGTGTTAAGCAGTGACTACCAGTTAATACATTAATATGATACATCTATGATGTTATATTTATATAAATATTTATATAAATACATATATATATATATAGATAATTCCATTGGTTCTTGTGACCCTATTGATGAGCGAAACTGGCTTAGCTGACACATAAATATCACTACACTAAGACTTATTATTGACATTAACACTTCATCAATTATCACGCTAAATCCGATGGCCTTGGCATCACGGCTGCTGGTGATATACTTCACCTTGAGCGAAAAGAACCGACTTTGACGCTCCCTTTGACGCTCCCGGATCATTAAATAATCGTGGCTACCACTTTCATAGGTGCACCAAATCACAGCAGATCGGAGAACTATGTAATCAACATGTATGCGGCAACATGTTCATACAATGGGGGGCCCTTTGGATACCCTATACCGTGGATACCTGCAGGAATATGTTTTTAGTATTCCTGAGGGGTTGGTGCTTCATAGCAACAATTATTCCAGGAGGTTCAAACGTCCTGGAATAATTTTGTGTAACAACTATTCCAGGATTCTTCAACATTTAGCAACAAAGTATTCCAGGGTATGCTTGACCTCTGTTATTGTCTTGAAATGTCCTGAATATTCCTGAATGTCCACAAGGCAAGTGAATGTCCAGTGCAGCTGCTTTTTAGTCGCGCAGTTCTGGTTTCCTGGTTTCCTCTTTCAGCAGCCGTCGAAGACATCGTTTCTGTTGTTTCCCTAATTAAATATTCCAGTATATATCTATATACATGTCCTTACTTAAATATTCCAGGGTATACACACCTTTGGCTAAATATTATTCCAAGGGTATCCTAACCTACTTGGTGATGATCACTAATTTTCCATATTTTTCAAGATCTCAAAACATGACAACATTTTCTAGAGCAGCTGAACGGGGGGGTGTCGCATACCTGCAGAATAACATATTCTGGAACATGTATTCCAAATTATAAATATTCCAACAGGTACGGGTACCCCAGAATATCTAACTAAGGCACACCCCATTTCATGCATGTTCAAACATGTTTCTTCAGGAACGATTTCCACTGCCTCATTCTCACTGCACCTCATCTCTCCCTTCAACCTGCTGCCGAATGGCTCCCAAGTCTTGAAGATGTTTCACCTTCCCTGGGCTGCCCGCGGTGGCGAAGATGGTGGCACCTACCCGTTGGGCAAACTGAACCGCCACCAGGCCCACGCCACCCGTGGCTGCGTGGATCAGTACACGCTCGCCCTTCCTAGGTGCAATGCGTGGGAGACGCGGGAAGTGTGTCAAGTAGTCTCTGGGAATTCGGCAACCAGGGTCGAGCAGTTTAGTTTGTGCTTGGGAATTCAGCAACTCGAGTTACTGTAGTGGTGACTGGTCCCAACTTCAAACAGTTTATCTTGACAGTCGAAATTGGATTGTTTAACTTCGCCTAACCGTGATGGCTAAGTCTGGCAGCCCCCAGGAAAGGCTGTAAGGCTATAATAAGTAAAAAACATGCGCTGTTGAGGTTCACTTGGGCTTGACTGATTGAGGTGGATAACGTTTGATAAAAATAATTGGGAGCTCCACTATGCTTCAGCATAGACTAGTGTCAGGAGGGGTTGTGCTGGGGGTTGGTGGTTTGGCTTGGTTCATGAGTTCCTGGCGCTGAGTATCTTCAAGGGCGCCAGCTCTTGGAAGGCTTCCTCCGTGGTGGCAAAGGTCACCGACCAGGCGGCCATCTGCCTGGGGGACAAAATGCAGGGAGCAACAGTTGATGTAAGAAGGTTCTCACTTTATGTGAACATGTTCTGATTCTTGTTTGTATCAAGCTGACAATCCACTACATATAATGGAGCTGAGAAAACTGAGATACCACACCGCGTCTTCTGTGCAAACAGTTAGCACTTGAATCGTTGGATTTGCAGGAATCTACTCTGGAATCAGAAGCATCGCTCAAGCCCTGAATTCAATCCTCTGTTATTCCTACCATAGAGGCATCATAGAGGGGTTAAAAAGGTGAGACTTGCACACACAACTTGGTGGCAACTTGGCAATGACTCTGACTATCATGCGGCCTTCAAAGGTTGAGTGGTATGGTATGACCAAAATAGTACAGTAGATCCTATTCAATTCTCATGTGGAAGTGCGCACCAGATAAAAGTGGTTCCAAGTCCCTCCTTGGAAAATCCCTAGTCGACGTAATCTCAACTGAGCAACTCAAAAGACCAGGCTTTGGGCTTGGGCGCCAACAGCAACGCTTCCGTGCAGGCATAGGTCTGCAGGCAGCCCCAGGCAATACCTTTTTCGCGTCGAGACTGGAGGCTGGCTGGCGCAAAAAAAGAGGTCCAGGGTCACTCAGAGTGGTCACTCACTGCGATATGAGGTTGGAGGCCATCGCTGGCTATTGGGTTTGTGGCCATTCCTTGGTTTGAGGCCAATTAGGTGTGAGAAAATACATATCAATATTGGTAATCGCCCAGATGCCAAAGACGTCGTGTCCAGGGCGAAGCTGCGCTACTTCCTTCTCGCCCTGTGCGATGGAGCACACCGTTCCAGCGCAGTCGCCGCCAGGATTGCCGGGATCTCCAGGATACCTGAGGGAGTGAACGGGTGGTGTGGTATAGGTTGCAGGGATGGGTCATGGCATCAAAATCATCCAGTGATACCACTAGTTGGGGTCACCAAAATATCAAGTCCATCCAGGATCCTCCAGGTCAGCTTAGGGTGGTGAAGGGATCGCTGCGTAAATGGGATCCTCCTGGGTGCGTCTCCCTTGGGACCACACTGTCCAGGTCCCAGGTTTCTTATACAATTTGGCACCCGCAATTGACACAAGGCTACCTGCCCCCCTTGGAGATTCTCCATCATGACCACAACCACTGTTTACAATTACCCAATCCATCCCCCTCATCGTCCCAACGGTCCAGGCCGCATGCCCATGACGTTCAACACGTCTCTGAAGTTCAAGCCGATGGCACGGATTCGTAGTTCCACCTCCGATCCACGCCAATCGCATGCGATGTTTGTGGGCGACACCCTTATTGCAGTGTAGGAAACTCCGCCAATGGTATCGGTTGACGGATTCGGATCTGGTTAGGCGTCCATTTGGTTCATTATGGTGTTGTCCTTGTCAGGGACCTACTGGCATGGCCTGCATGTCTTGAAAAAAACGTCAAGAACTTCAGGAACAGGGGTTTGGCAACCATCAAAAAGGGACGCTTCCAGTTTCACCCCACCACAGCAATGGTGATCATTTGCTCGTGTTACCACCGAATACTACCTCCCGCGCTCGAAATCCACGAGTGAAACGTGGAAAGAGCCTGTTGCCCCCCGAATACAATTGAATAGTCTTGGGACGGTTGTTTGCTTAAGGGAATGCAGCTGAACCTACTGGCGCTCAGCTCTCGGGACGTTCTCTGCAACAAAAATATGGCCGTTTGGGCTATTGGTCACAAAGGAACCCAAAACATGTTACTGCATCCGCAACAGATCAGGCGGATGCCAGCCTGCCCAGGTCCAGGTTGAGGGCGCACCACTTGTGGCACCGGTCGCAAGTTGGACAAGCTGCCGCGTGAGGACATTTGCAATCCTGAAGTGAAAGAACATTCAAGGTTGGTGGATATTGGCACCTGTTGGATATGTAATTACTTGGGCCGTCTCATGACCGACAAGTGCCAAAACATTCCAAATGTCCCTCTGATGCGTGGACCGATTTGGTTTCGATGACCCCCCGAAATCCATGCTGCTGTGAATGATCACTTCTGGGAAAAAACATTTTGGATGGGTTCTGAAACGGGTCTCATGATGGAGTTGCGGACAAAATACACGTACCCGAGAAATACCACATTCTAGATTGCACACTATATATTTGTTCAAGACAAATTTCTTCAGAATACTATATAGGTAAACGTTGTTCCTCGCAGTTTTCAATTCAATCTGCTTTGCTTTTCTATCCCCCACAGCGCCCCCTTTTGCCTGTGAAACATCAGCACTCCATGGGTTTTGTTTAGTAATGTAATATCAACCTTTCTGGCATTTTGGGCGGGCACCGTCTAAAGCACTCGTGGCTGGGAAGACTCAAGATAGAGTAGTATACATTTGCAAAGCAAAATATGAGTGCATCTCCTAAGCTACCACTCCAACCAAGCAAAGCGCACCGGCTATCTTTCTCGCTTTTGGGTTCAACAGTTCCAATCCTACTCCACAGATGGAGTAAATGAAAAGGGGCTGCGGGGATACCATACACATGTCCACATGCAGCAAGCTACCGTACAAGCTTGCAACTCTTGATGACTACACAGTACATCTCCACACGCCTCCTGAACGCGTGTCTCAAGTGAAACACAAGTGAAAAAGAGATGCCTGGCTAAGCCACGGCTCAATGCCCTAGTCATTTTGCTCGAGGTTGTTGGAACAAACAGTCTTCCTCTCAATCCTCCAAAGGACACTGGCAAGGGCAAGTCCAAGGAAAGTCAAATCCCCAGGGCAAGACAAGCTCTCAGAACCAGAAGGGCAAAGGAGGCAAGAAGATTGCCAAAAACAAAGGTAGGGGGAAGCACCACGCGGCTCGGGTGGTGCGGAGGATCCTGGGCCGAAGAGTATGAGGAGCCAGAAGTTGAGGACTTCCAGATGTTGAGGAGACAGGTGAGCAAGGAGCTCTCTGCGTGGCAAAAGGAAGAAAGGACGAGAGGAAGGACGAACCAAAGGTCGGAAGCGCACGCCAACTGGAGATGGTGAGGAATCAGCGGGGCTTTGATGAAGGAAATGAGTCCCAAGTATTTTTGGACTATGCCATGTCATTTTGTTTGCAGCCAGAGCTGGACGAAGAGTCGCAAGCTCAGCTGTGGACGCCAGGCCTGTGTCAAGAAGGGCAAAGGGCTTGTTTGACACAGCATGGCATTTCAAACAACATCTTTGGAGCAAAGCTGCCTTACCGCAGTGATGGCAAGTGACAGTGGTTTTAGCGTTATCTTTGCCACCTTTGGCCTTGCCTGTGCCCTTTTTTGCATCAAGTCCCATAGGTACTGCTCCACCATCATTAGAATCTTTACTGGCCTTCTGCCCCAAAAATGAAACAACCTCTGAACGCATTTTGTCATGCGCGTCAAACCGCTGAATGTTCATCTCAATATGTTCTTCCAGATTCTCCGGAACCAACTGCAAAGAATCGCTCTTCGTGTATCGTCTGACGGTCTCGTTTGGCCCCTTCAAACATCGTCTGTAATATCTGACTCCCACCAATCCCACTGCGAACGAAGTGTGCTCAATGATGCCCTATATAGGAGGGTTCAAAATCATACGACGCACGGTAGTTTGTAGGTTCATATGTTTGACACAGACGTCGCAGAGCCACGTGCAGGTGTGCATCAATGGCGTCAATGTCCCTGATAGTAGAATTGCGCAAATCATGCTCCGTCACTGGGTCGTCAACCTTCTGCCGAGCCCTTAAGTTAGTCAGGTTTGCCAATTCATTTGATATCCACAACTCCTGGCTTGCTCTTCATGTCCCAATTGCAGGTTCTGAAGAATCTGTCCACGCATACTCTCCACTGCTGTTGCACCTTGTCCTGCAGTGGGTGATCCACTTGGTGATGCGAATGGTGACGCTGACACTGCCTCTCTTGGTAGGGCAACTGACGTGACAATCGGTCAGGAGTGATCGAGGGTACTCTTGCAAGTACCTCCCAAGGAATCCAAAGATCCTCTGGAACTTTCTTACTCCAACTTCCTCACCAATCGTGCCCCCTGACCTTGAGATGTGCTGTTGCAGCACTTCTCGATGCAGGTTCCTCAGTCACCAAGAAAACTCGCTCTGGCTACCTGAATCTGAACCAGGTGGCTCCGCTACCATGCAAAGAACATATGAGTGAGTGTATCTCTCCTAAGCAACCACTCCAATCAAGCAGAGCGCAGCGGCTTTCTTTCTCACTTTTGGGCTCAACAGTTCCAATCCTACTCCACAGATGGAGTAAGTGAAAGGGGGCTGCGGGACAACGTACACATGTCCACATGCAGCAAGCTACCTTACAATGGCTAGCAACTCTTAATGACTATACACCTCTACAGTAATAATGCAATATATATATATATATATTACAGTGTGTATATATATACACAATTATATATTATATATATATATTGTATATTTAATATATAATGTACACGATCTGTCTCATCACAACAGCATGGCATTGCAACATATTGCAACTGCAATTCAGAATTATGTTTGAAAGAACCAATGTAGCAAGCTCCAGGGTTGGGGTCACTCAGTCTAAATGCAGGTTCTCCCACATCCGAGCTTCGCATGGGCTTTCGCACTTGCACTGGGCTTCGTGAGAGGCGAGATACCTCCGGATCACGAAAATGGGTGAGTGTCCGGGTGTATGAGCAAGAAAAAACAGCTGAATCGTACTTTGTGAGCCTAAGCTAGTTGAAAACAAAAAACAAAGAGGGGGGCGAGTCTTGGCTTTTACCACGCGCAGGAACTCCCACAGAATTCAAAGTATTTTCCATTCCATGTATCCATGAAGGCTGTGACTCGGGAGATGTGGCCCAGGCTGGCTGGTGTGACCAAGTGATGGGCGCATGACTAACCCATTCCTACGAGCACAAGTTCAAACGATCATCCATGATCAACCGCCCAACCCGCCCATCCTATTGATCACACTGCGAATCACACTGCGTCACACCACCTCCCCGGCATCACGTTGCCCGCTACGCCGCGTTGTAGAACCCGCCTTGAATTGCTCCCCTCGGAGGGACAGCTCGCTCTCCGATGCGCCCGCGCCCATGCCCAGCAAGGTGCCCAGGGCATCGACCAACGCCTCAGGGGTCGTGGATGAATTCCACTCAGCACAAATTCTAAACCTTTCTAAACCCTCTTTTTGACTTTTGAACCCTCTTTCCTCCGCAGTTTTCACGACAACACTCACTCCCAGCGAATCTGGCGCCTTGGCTGCAGCCTCTGGTTGGAGATGTGTGGAATCCAAGTCAAAACACCGAAGCTTCATGGTGCGCTCCTCCATGCCTTGACTTCAGAAGCAGTGCGCACCCTCGGGCACATGTGGATGATGGCCTAGATTGTGGGTGTGTCTCAACTGAAAGGCCTCAGAACCTGGAAAAACAAATGCAACTACCTAGTAGGTAGGACCGTTTTACTCACAAGCAAAGAAAACACCAGCTACTAACTATTTCAGGACAATTCTTACGAAACTTCGCTGCTGAAAAAATAACCAAGTCCATCTTCATCTGGTGGAATTCAAAGGTCGTCCTATCCCAGACTCCTAGAGTCCTCCCAGCAAAATCCATGGATGTACCCCCCCCCTTGAAGGAGCACCGCTGGAGTACATGGCTGTAAATCCTGATTAGGCCTTTGTAAAAGCAAGTAGATGTGACTCCTTCATGTGCACCAAACACTGATTTTCGCAGGAGTATCTGGCAGGTGTATTTCTTTACCACACTCAGGGCTAAGGTATTCTTGATTTTGCCCAAGAATTGTCAGGCTGACTCAGCATTTTTGCTCTGTCCAACCAACTGTGGTTGGATAAATAGTCTACCCGAAACAGGTTCATACATCTACGGATCCAATTTCTTCATGTTTCTTCTGTAATCAAAATTACACGACTACTACACTACACCAGGAGGAGCAAAGGCCTGGCTTTTGCTCATGGGTTCACTTACAAAAAGAGTGACGTGAGAGAGATACACTACAAAATCAGGAGGTGGGGGGATGATGCCAGTCGCAAATTTGATCAATTGTGTATGAAGTCACAAAACATAAGCATGATATTGTATCTTCGAAGCGGAAAGAGTCCTGCTATCGGAAGTCGGTATGAGTGAGTGGCTGCACGACTGTAGGACCACTTTGTAAGTAGGGATTTCGTAGGGTAGTATGCAGCTTCAGCCATTTTGTAAAGACTTAATGTTGAACCCCCACTCTCACACACGTATTAGGCGTATTGCCGTACAAAACAAATTATGATGTCATCCATTTATGGAGAAACAACCAACCATCAAGGCAAAATGATGACAAAGAAAACATGTGTGACAAAAGGAATGTCTGGGACAAAATTGCACAGAGGAGATTGTGAGCAGATTGACAGATCTTGGAGTTTCGGACTTGTGGCAACATAGAGAAATGTATATTTGCTTATTTTCCCACAATGGGTTTGTGGAAATACATCTTATACTATAGGGTCGCAATTCTATCCCAAGCCTTGCTTCTACAAAGTGACAATTCCAATAACATAAGGCAAGCAGTGCTTCCAATTGCGTCTACAACAGCAAAAAAAACTCGACAGAATGTATTTCTGAATGACCCTCCACATCATATATAACCAAGAATAACACATCTCTACAAAACCCACTGACCGAATGACCTCAACTGCATGTTAGTCATTGGCTACAAAATGACCTACCCATCTTTTTAGTGAAAACTGGTTTTCTGAAACAGTTGAAACCCCCATATCGATGCCAGGATCACTGATTCTATAGGAAACATTTAAGAGGGATTCCCTGGCACATGTCCTCCTGCCCCCACATGTCCGGCACTTGCCCTTCTCCCCTCCGTCCAGCTGCGGATGGTTCGCGCCAGCCCCCAAAGGCCGGCGTGCAAATAGCTCCCCGGACCGGTGACATCGTCCTCGTGGGATCATTGGGCCAAATCTCAAGCATTGCTCTGCATTGGCTAATGGCCTCCACCCTCAGAGCGATGGCCTCTAACCTACTAGCGATTGCCTCC